TGCCAACTCTGGGATATAGGTGCTATTATTATCCCCATTTTACAGATGCGGAAACTGAGGCAGACAGAGGGTCAGTGACTTGTTTAGGGTCACACAGTGGTTAAGTATCTGAGGCCAGATTTGAATTCAGGTCTTCCTGACTCCAGGCCCAGTGCTCTGTGCACTGCACCACATACCTGCTTCATTGCTCTCTCCTCACAGCTTTCTCTTGGAATCTCTACCTCTTCCCAAGGCTCAGTTCTCAGGCCATCTTCTCTTCTTGGTCTTTTTTCATCTCCTTGGTTTCTAGTGCTCTCCTTATGTGATATTTAATTTGTGCACATTTTGGGTTTAATTCTGGTGGACAGTGTGTTGTCCTTTTTCCACGTGGTTTTAATTTCTTCCATCATTATTATTGGAAAGCCTCTTTCTCACCTTGTCCAGGGAAGGTCATACAGAAGTGGTCCTGAGACAATTGACCACCCTTCTATTATTCCTTTATATATAATGGTCTTTGGGCTGTTGCACAGGAGGGTAAAATCACTGCTTTTGGTAACTGAATAAAAATTGGGATGTGAACTCTTCCCACCTCTGTAGGCTGACTGCAGGTATCCTGGGGATGATTCCTGGAGCAGACAGGAGGATGGGGAAGATGCATGCTTCATCCTGTTCTTGCCCAGTCTTTGGTCTCTTCTGCTATGTCTCTATAATTTGGAAGAATTTTGTTCTGTGCTACTTTGAGTTTATAAGCACTTGAGATAGCAACATCTTTTTAAACACTGTTCAATGTTATATCCAAGGGATTACAGACAAAAGTCTGGTCTGTGATCACAGTCTCATTCTGGTGCAATTTGTTGGTTGAGTTCTCCAGGCTGTTTTGGGGTCTACATTTGTCCTATGAGACAGTGAGTGGCTGGTGCATGTCTTAGACACCAGGTCATTTTCCTCTTCCCCAAGAGGCAACTATTTGGTCCCATGGATAGAACACTGGACTTGGAGTCAGGAAGACCCGCGTTCAAATCTTACTAGCTGTGTGATTCTGGGCAAGACACTTCACCTCTAAGTGAGGTGAAAGAAACTGTAAAATAGAAATCATAATAGCACTTCCTTTCTAGGGCTGTTGTGAGGATCAAATGAGATAGTATTTGTAAAGTACTTAGCACAGTGCCTGACACATAGTAGGTGCCTAATAAATAGTGTCCTTTCCCCCTTCCCCTTCCTCCCACGATATAGATTGTCATCTATTTCACTCCTGCTCCTAATTGGTCTAGATGGATATCTTTTCAGATTTTCTTTCTGATGATCACCTTAGGTAATAAAAATAATGATAATTTATATAATATTCTACAGTTTTCAAAATGCTTTCACACGCTGTATTGGCCCCAATATAGGGTAAACCCCTAAATGAGATCTCTTCGAAAGGAGGAAAAAATACAGGTAGACACTGGAAAAAGAATTGCCCAAAGTGGAGGCCCTTAGTCAAGGAATGGCTGAACAAATTGTGGTTACCTGAATGTAATGGAATAATTCTGTGCTTTAATAAACAATGAATATGATGAAAACAGGGAAACAGGAAAAGACTGGGATCAAGTGATGTAAGAAGAAGTGAACAGAGCCAAGGATGCAGTAGACGAGTGACTCCGATGCTGTGAACAGAAGCAACAACCACACAAAAAAAAATCAAAAGAAGAAAAATTGTGTTTTCTTTGTAAAATTGTGAAGAGCAAGCCGGGCTCCAATGAAGAAGACACTTGCCCACCCTGTACCCACCATGCTTTGCAGAGATGATACATTTCACATATTTTGGGGTTTTTTCCTATGTGCTGGTCAGTTTTGCTGATTTTTTTCTCTTCTTGTTATATGGAATATAACATATTAGAATATATGGAATATAATATGGGGGAGAGAAAGGGTTATTTGGGGGAATTTTGGTGATGTAAAAAAATTCCAAAAGACATCGGTAACAGTTTATTGAAAATAATTGCACAAAATTATCAGTTGTGTAGGTTTTGGGTAGCCTATCTTTTTATTTAAATAAAGTCATTTTATTCTTCTTTTTTTTTAGATTACTATTCTCATCTTTGTCTTCTTTGCTGTCATTTTCTTACTAAGAGAGCATTCCTGGGGTAGTAGAATACTAAGCTACTCAGAGCTTTCATAGGCTCCTCAGCTTATGGACAAACTGGGGTGAAAAGATGAGTCTATGTTCTGACCAGTAGGATAGACGAGCTCATTTGCTCCTCACAACCCTGGAAGGCAAGCTAGGGAAGATTGCTATTTCTCTGTTACATATTAGGAAACTACTCAGGAAGGTTAAGTGACTGACTTGCCCACAGTCTGACAGCAAATTAATGGTGGAGATAGCCCTGGAACCTAGATCTTTTAACTCATAATACAATGTTTTTGTTGCTAGAACATAGTAATTGGATATGAAAATTCCTCTCTTGGAATGACTCAGATATTCATTTTCCTGTATTTCTTAAAAGAGATGATGACAAAAATATTTATAGCAGCTCTTTTTGTGGTGGCTAAGAATTGGAAAGCAAAGGGATGCCCATCAATTGGGAGGAATGACTAAACAAGCTGTGGTACATGATTGTAATGGAATATTATTGTGCTATAAGAAATGACAAGCAGGATGATTTCAGAAAAGCCTGGAAAGACTTACATGAACTGATGCAAAGTGAAGTGAACAGAACCAGGAGAACATTGTACATAGTAACAGCAATATTGTGTAATGAGGAACTGTGAATGACTTAGCTTTTCTTAGCAGTACTATGATTCAAGACAATTCCAGAGGACTCGTGATGAAACATGCTATCAGCCACCAGAGGAAGAACTGATATTGATTGATGACAGACTGAAGCAAGCTATTTTTCACTTTCTTTCATTCTTTTTCTTTTATTTGCATCTTCTTATGCAAAATGACTAGTATGTTTTATTAGTTTTACATAATTGCGCATGTATAGCTTATATATGCTTGCTGTCTCAGGGAGTGAGGAAAGGAGGGATAGATTTTGGAATTCAAAAAAATTTTTTTTTTTTTGGTAAGGCAATTAGGGTTAAGTGACTTGCCCAAGGTCACACAGCTAGTACGTGTCAAGTGTTTGGTCTGAGGCCGGATTTGAACTCAGCTCCTCCTGACTTCAGGGCCGGTGCTCTATCCACTGCACCATCTAGCTGCCCCTGGAATTCAAAATTTTAAAAAATGTTTAAAAAATTTAAAAATAATAAAAAAAGAGATGATGAATATAGCCTAAATTGTCACCCATGCCTAGAATGCCCTCCCTCCTCTCCTTTGCCACTCTCAGGATTCCAAGCTCCATTTAAGGCTCTGCTCAAGTCTCCTCTTCCACAGGAGCCTTTTCCCGATCTCTCTCTCTCTCTCTCTGTCTCTCTGTCTCTCTCTGTCTCTGTCTATCTGTCTCTCTCTGCCTCTGTCTCTCTCTCCTCCCCCCCTCCCTTTGCTCTTGTTACTACTGATTGATTTCCTCTGTGTATATTTCATATTTATTTTTCTGGGTTCGTGTTGTTTCTCCCAGTAGAATGGAGGAATGAATGAGTGAGAAAAACTAACCAGGCTTCACAGATATCTTACCATGCTTCAGCCCAGGTGCCGTCTTCCCACCCCAACTGTCCACCCCCTTCTGTCTTTACATACGGGTAATTGCTGTTACCTTACAGGTGATGTAGTGTATAGAACACTGGGTTTGAAATCAGAAAGACTCATTTTCATGAATTCAAATCCAGTCTCAGACACTTACTAGCTGTGTGACCTTGGGCAAGTCACTTAACCATGTTTGCCTCAGTTTCCTTATCAGTAAAATGAGCTGGAGAAGGAAATGGTCAACCACTCCAGTATTTTTGCCGAGAAAACCCCAAATGGGGTCATGGAGAGTCAGACGTGGCTGGACAACAGCTCAACACCAACTTGCACGTTCTAACAATTTATCTTGTCATCCAAAGAAGACCCCCATTGCTCCTTGTCCTGAGCTTCCTCGCACCATCCCTGGGCCTCCCCAGACCAAACCTCCCTTGTTAGAGGGTCAGGACCGTCTCGTTCCGTATTTGTGTCCCCAGCGCTTCACACAGTGTCTGACAAAGAGGAGGAGGACAGTGCTAGGAAGGTGGCTTATGCTTTCCTTGACAGAGGGAACTCCTCCTTCCAGTGCAAGCCAGCACCTTCTGGAGCGTTAGAGCCTCAGAGTGCTGCCTGGGGATGCTGAGAGGTGGAGGGACTTACCCAGGGTCATACAGCCGGCATGTGTCAGGAGGCAGGACTTGAATTCAGGTCTTCCTGGTTTCAGACCAGCTCTTTTAACACTCCTTCATGCTGACTCTCCTGGCACAGAGTAAATGCTCTTTGTTAATTTATTCAGTAGAATATGAGGTAATTAAGGGCAGGGACTGTTTTCAGGTTTTGTCTTTGTATTTCCATTGTATATTGCAATACCCAGTACACGATAGGCCCTTAATAAATGCTTAAGTTGAACTGAGCTCCCTCTTTCCTAAATAGCCACCTTTTCAGCAGATTCCAGAAACCTGTGAAAAGTCTAGGGACTCATTCTCCATTGTCTGAATGCCTGGCAGAATTCTGAGGGTGGGGCAGCTAGGTGGCTCAGTGGATAGAGCACTGGCCCTGGAGTCAGAAGGACCTGAGTTCAAATCCAGCTTTAGACACATAACTCTCCTTAGCTGTGCGACTCTGGGCAAGTCACTTAACCCCAATTGCCTCATCGAAAAGGAAAAAATAATTCTGAGGCTCCTGGGTCTCCAGAGTTTCTGAGAGACGGATGGAGGAGAGATGGGGGAGTTGAGCTGGTCCAAGAGCCTCCCCATTTCTCTTTCTGATGGCCTTCTTCCCCCAAATGGTGCCACTAAAGAGGAGGGACACTCATCTCTTTTACAAATGGGGGTGTCAGGACCAGAAGGGAGGGGAGCCAAGTCATTTATGAAAAAAAGGATTGATATTGGGCGTGCGGTTCCCAATTTGGCTTTGTATAGGAGTCTGCCCCAGTGACTGATTTGCTGTGAATGAAGTTCACATAATTGCCCGGGGATGTGCTACCACTGACTGGCTCAGTAAAAGGGAAATGGGGAGAAAACTCTGCATCCTCTTCTAGCACGAGTCCACCAGTGAGCAGCGGTGCAAGGCAGGGGTCAGAAGGAGGCCTTCACGCTGGCTTGGTGTGCCAGGGCTGGTTAGCAGCTTGCTTCCAAAATTGCATTACAAAAATTACATATTTCATATAATCAGGTCTGTCTCTTACTTAATCATCCTATACAGCGTATAAATCTTTTGAATGGACAGGTCTATAAATCATAGGCATTTTTCATTTACCACTTATTCTAGGCCAGGCAGTTTCTTATTTAAATTGCTATATGAATAAATCTAATAATCCTTATTCACTTACATCATCTCGAACTTTTAAATCTTATTCTGACTGAGGTCATAAGTGAAATCAGCAGTGAGGGTGAAACATGCAGCTGTAACAACTCTAATAGCTTACCAAATTATATTAGAGCACTCGAATAACATTAGGAAAAATGTGGAAGAATGGGGCTGCATTATTAAAGCGGGATCTGCTGAGTCAGGGAAACTGAGGCTCGGTCTTCCAACTCTGAAACCTTTCAATCAATCAAGCAAGTGGGTGAACAACAAGCCTTTACTACACTCCTATGATGTACCAGGCACAATCCTAGACTGGGGATATGAAGACAAAAATTAAGATTCCCTGCCCTCAAGGAGCTTACATTCTTCTTTCACTTAACTTTCCTTCAACCGAGTGCTGTGGGTAGACACTCCATTCCTTTGAACCCTTCTGGGAGGATCTGTACTCCTTATAAATATCTCCCCACCACCGTGTAAGTGATGAAATAATCTCATAGGTCTGCACATTATAAAATGTCTTGGGGGTACATCTCTTACCAGTATTGAGAGAGCATTTTCAACGATTAAAAAAGGCGAAGCTTTATAAAAGAAATGAGATGTTTCCATCTGAGTGAGCGACTCCATGTTTTAAGGAGAGGGATATGGTTTGAATCTGTGATGAAATTAGTGGGTGAGGGAACTCCCTCTATCACTGTAGGTCGGCCCCTTCTCTCCAAATGGTAGACTTAGAGTGTCCCATTTTTCTAGAGCAGAGATGTCAAATGCATAACCCTGTAGAGGCATTTTATCCCCAACACTCCTAAGTGCAGACAGAAGCAGATTAAAATGTGATGGGAAATAGTGACCAAAATAAGCAAAAATTCAATAGAACATAGATAATGCTAACATGAGGCTTTCTGAGTCAATATGGGCCTGTAGGAATCCTTATGTGTGGGTTTGGAGGCCTCTCTTTCTTTCTGAGTCTGGCACCATTGATAAGTCAAGAGGCCTGCCCAGAATCATATAGCCAATGTGTCCAAGGTGGTCCGGTCTTCTGGCCAGCTCCCTAGACAGGCAGGGGTATTGTCGGATTAAGAAAGGCCCCTTTTTGTTTCCTAGGCCCTGGTTCTTGTTAGCAAGGCCCAGGAGGTGTGCTCCATCTTCTCAGTGGGGTGTAAATGGGCACACCCCACCTTCCACAGCTAGAGTAGTCTAGAATGCTGAATCATAACTCCCCTCCCTGAAACCACATCTGTAGCTGCGGTTCTCAGCACATCACTCTGCCAGCTGGTTCTTGTCTTAAGCCTGGAAGATTGTATTCTCTGACAGCTACCATGGGCCAGTATAACTCACCTCTGAGAAGGTGAAGGGGCTGGTTAAAGTCTTCTTCAAGGAAGCCTCTGACAGGCCTTTGACAGCCTGAAGAGTTCTTCTGCATATAAATCACCTTGGCTCTGTCTTCTTAAATGCACGCTCTTTTTGTCCCCCGCCAGAAAGGCATCGATAGATGTAGGGCTTCTGAGCCCAAACAAAACAAATAATCCCATGATTATTTGGAGACAAAACTCAGCGATAACTACCTGTAACTTAACACTGGCAGGAGTCACGTGTAATGATGACTTGGCAGGGATATCATTGATCCTGGGAATCATAGAAAAAGAACCATGAGCCATTCTACAGCTGCATGAAGGAAGTCCTCTTATATATATCTGTCCCCAGATCCCATCTTTGTCCATGGTTCTCAATTAGTAGGGATGGCTACAAAGTCACTACATATTATTGAACTCCATGGGGAAGGAGCCGTGTATTTGGCATCAAAGGACTTGGGGTTGGATTCTACCTCCATTCCTTGTTACCTCTGACCATGGACAGTTACATCTCCCTCTCTGGGCTTCAGTTTTCTCCTCTCTGAAAGCAAGGGAAATGGACCAAGGTCCCCTCCAGCTTTAAATCTCTTATCCTATGGCGCTGTAGCGCCTTGGGCGGCTACTTTAATTAAAATTCATGACGTGTGAAGGAGGAATCATTCATTTAAACACTGGATTTTTTCTACCTCATCAACTTATTCTCCCATATAATGTGTGTGGTTTTCACAGATAATGCTTTCAAAATAAATTTATCCTTTTTCCCAGTTATTTCACTCATTCTTCACTATGAAAACATAGAAACTGTGAAAAATAATTGGGGGGGGGGAATGGAGCTTGGAGTGAGAGCCAGATGAATCAGATTATTGCAAAATGCATTTGTGGATAGAATGGGAAGAAAACAAACAGAAGTAAGAAGGAACAGAACTGCCTGGATTTTAATGACAATTAGTCTCATTGGTAACGATGATGGAATAACCAGATTGGAATTCTACCACAAGTGGCAATGATGTTGAACCATTTCATTACTGTTAGCATCCAGTTGCCTTCTGGCTTTTTGGAATGGGGCAGGGGACATAGTGAGGCCTAGGAGTTTTTCAATTTAACCAACACAGTCTTAGCACTAAGACTTTTGGGACATTCTGTTTTTCCAGCGTACGAGGTAATGAGCTCAGTTATGTCTATGATGCTGTCAAGAAACACCCCTTAAAACTTAGCTCCTTTGGGCCCATCTTGGATCTCAACACCCTAGTTGAGGAGGAGGAGAATAGGGGATGCGGCTAGGTTTGGTGGGAGCAGATTGGGGGAATGAGAACCAGGGCCCATCCAGCCAAGCCCGTATGAGGGGCTCTGAGGCCCAAAGTCCTAAGCTCTGAACAAAACACTAGTGGTTGGGAATGCCCTGAAAGATGAATATTGTGCTATTTCTCAATCACTTGTTTCTTCAACAAATATTTACTGAGTTCCTTTATATTTTTCTAAAATTTGAATACCTTCATGCTTTCCTGCGCCATATATACCCGCCCATTCATCCGTTGCTCTGTGTTGGTGTTTCTTAAGTATTTCACATTTTAAAAAGATGCAGACACAGAGTGGAATGATCCTGTTCATGCTGACTTTTAACACCTCCAATTGGAAAGGCTTCGTGATGGTGACAGGTTATTGTGAAGGGGATTGCCTCCCTACTTAATTTCTTCATTTTTGTTTTTTTAAATGTGCGGATGGATGGTGCAGAGGATAGCACGCTGGGCTTGGAGTCAGGAAGACCTGAGTTCAAATTTGGTCTGAGACTAGGTGTGTGACCTTGGGCAAGTCATTTAAACTGCCATGTGCCTCAGTTTTCTCATCTGTAGAATGGGGTCCATACTAGCACTCACCAGCAGGGTTGTTACAAGGATCAAATGAGATAATTATGAAATGCCTGGCATATAGTAAGTCTATATAAATGTTAGCCATATTATTAGTTAAAGCTCATCCTTCCATATCCCCTCCATTATTTTTGGGGTAGCTCTTTTCTAAATCTTTGGATAATCAGTATCAGAGAATGTTGAGGGTGGATGGGCCCTAGGAGACTGTCTCGTCTAACCTCCTACTTCTATAGATGATAATTGAGAACTGAAGCCACTTACTCAAAATCACACCGTGCGTCACCCGACCTGGCAGAGCTGAGAGCTGTCTCGGGACTCCTTGGTTAGTGCTCCCAGGACACCATCGAGGCCATCTCGGGTCTCCATCCCTGTAGGAGAAAGCATTCAGGGTCACAGTGAGCTGGAGCTGTGGTTTTCAGTTTCTGTCACTCAGAGGACAAGAGGCGTTAAAATATATTTTCTGCCCCATTGGGTTTGGACTCTAACAATTGCCTGGCATCTCCCATGTCATTTTGCTTGAGAAAAGGCCTCTCTATTGCATGGGGCTGGGAAGGACAAGATATCAGGAAGGAAAAACTTGGGAGACATTACTTTCCCCCCTCACTTCCCACTTTCATTGGGGGCCAATAGGAGTGAGGGGCTCTTCTAAACCTGACCCTCATCCTATCTCCTGTTGGCAGGAGGGTGGGGCCGACTTTGTAGGGCCACGCAGGACATCCCCTGGCTGGTAGAGAAAAGGTGGCAAAGCCCCCGGCCAGATGCTGACCCTGGATACTGGCTGATAGGCTGATGGACAGCGCCCTCCTGGTGAACTCTGGAATCCAACTGGATGCATCCATCTCCTTGGAGGGCTTCAGAGCGACAAGACTAGGCAGACGAAAAGAGACTGTCAGGCCATACGGATGGCAGCAGCATCAACTGGTGTAGGAAATTGAGCACTGTGTATTGTCAGCAACCCAGCAAATGGCGCCCTCTCCTCTGCCGCCTTGTGACTGATTGGTTGGAGGTCTGTGCTAATCTCTTCCTGAGACGTAAAGGGGCCTGGAAGAAGAATGAGAGGGGTCATTAATGCAAAGCGATAGGCCCTTGTCTGGCATATTTAAAGCAAGGTCAGGATGGGACTGTGCAAGTCTCTCGTCCGCCCTGGGACTCAGTTTCCCCATCTGTGGAATGGAGACAGGGAGGAATTGGGGGGGGGCTCAGAGGGCCCGTCTAGCTCTGCTTCTAGGACCCTATGACTTTGGCACAAGGAAGAGGGGCCAAGGGTCTGTCCATATTGCTGCTGCGGGAAAGACACGAGCAGGCTCCGGAGTGGGGCAGGATAAGAACAGCTCGTATTGATAGAGCGCTGGGGCTGTTTTATTTAATTTGATCTTCATTAAAGCCCCCATTTTACAGATGAGAAAAAGGGATGAAATAACTTGCCTGGGGCCCCGCAGCTGGCATGTGACTGAGGCAGAATTTGAACCCGGGTCTTCCTGAGCATTGCAGTCACTGTGCTCCCCTACTTCATAGAGCCCCTCCCTGGAGTGCGGTCAAGAGGAGGCAGTAAGAGGCTGATGCCAAGGATAGAGGCGGCTAGGTGGTCAGTGGACAGTGCCAGGCCTGGAGGCAGGAAGACCTGAGTTCAAATGTGGCCTCAGATAGTTACTAGCTGTGTGACCCTGGGCAAGTCACTTAATCTGTGTGTGCCTCAGTTTCCTCATCTGTAAAATAGGGATAATAACAGCCCCCTCCCCCCTTCCAGGGTTGGTGTGAGGATCAATTAGACAATAATTGTAAAGTGCTTAGTCCACTGCCTGGCACATAGTAGGTGCTATACAAACCTTAGTTATTGTTATTGTGTTATTGTTATTACTAGCTGTGGGACCCTGGGGCAAGTCACTTACCCCCTGTCTGCCTCAGTTTCCTCATCTATAAAATGGAGATAACCACTTCTTTCCCAGGGTTGTTGTGAAGATCAAATGAAATCATAATTGTAGAGTGCTTAGCCCAGTGGCTGGCACATAGTAGGTGCTACATAAACCTCAGCTACCATGGCAAGCTTCCCTCACTTTCCCCAGTTCAGTGTGAGCACACCACATTCCTTCCCTTGTAAACCCAACCTCACCTACATCCTGGCCCATTTTTTCCCTTAGAATTTGCTTTTTTTCTATATTTTCCTAAGCATTTTATATTTATGAGGATTTATATAATGACCTTGGAGTTGAGCTGGACACCTCTCTCACCATTTTCAGTTTTTTCAGCACAGACACACTCATACACAAACACTCACCCTCGCACACACTTACACATCTACTCAAACACATACTCTCACAGGCACTCACACCCACACACACTCACACACACACACACACTGACTCACATACCCCCTCACACACATACTCATATACTCACACACTCACATACACATACGCACAAATGCTCACCCTCACCCTCACACACACGCCTGTGTACACACACACTAATACACAGACATACTCGCTTACACACATACACGCTCACCCTCAAACACACTCCCATGTGCACGCACACACACACAAATGCTCACACTCACAATACGCTTACACACATGCTCCCATGCACACACACACCTTTACACATACACACAAATGCTCACACTTATAACACCCTTGCACACACACACACTCATACACACACACCTTTACACATACACACAAATGCTCACACTTATAACACCCTTGCACACACACACACTCTCACACACACACACTCTCACACACACAAACTACACACACTCACACACACACACAGAACTTTGGGACCAGCGAGGTCATTCATTCCAAGCTCATCACTTTACAGATGAAGCATAAACCAGGAAGGTTCATTGACTTGCCCAGGGATGCACAAGCTGGGATGGGACCCAGGTTCTCCTGCCTCTCAATCTCGGGCCCCAGCTGACCCGGGCAGGCCTAATCTCCCCCAGACCCTGAGGGCCTCTGGCACTTTCTGTCATCTTTTCAAACTCAGCAGGTGTAACACCAAACCTATTGTCTTTCCGATCAGTTTCCATCAAGTCCTTATGACTTCAATCACTCAAGCCATCAACATTTATTAAGCGCCCACTTCCCATATGAACTGCTGCATCCTCTCTAGTCTCTCGGCCTCTCCCCCTTTTAGTTTATTTGTTATGCCCCCACTGGGTTAACACCAAAATGGCCAGAATCTAGCAACACCCAAAAAGACCAGTCCGTGGCAATGGACACAGCACATTTGCACATGCTAGAAATAGTAGGTTGAAAGTTTTTATTTCCAAGGAAAATTATAATATCTGCTTGGATTTGTTTGTATTTAAAGTGCATTTGCATAGGGAGGAGAAATTATGAAATTGCAAATTTGTATTCAATTTTAAATTAAATATTAAATTATAAATTGTAAAATTATAAAAAAATATTTTAAAATTGCGACATCAGTTGATGCATTGATGCACCCGGCCCTTCTATTAATCTCCCTAAAAATGTGCTTTTGTCACTTCCCTCTCCTTCTCGTGCAAACTTTCAGTGGCTCTGTACTGTCAATAGGACGGAGGCCCAAATCCTCAGGCTTGCATTCAATGCCCATTTCCTGAAGCAGCAGGACTCTAGATTGGGGTTCGAAGACCTGGGTCTTTGTTGGCATTGTTCCTCACCAGCTGTGTGACCCTGGACAAACCCCTTAGCTTTCTGCAGACTTGATCTACTTTCTATGTAAATGAACCTGCTTTTCCAGACTGTATCTAGCATTATTCCCCGTCTCACACACTTGTTTTTGTTGTTCAGTCCTTTTCAGTTGTGGTTGACCCTCTGTGACCCCATTTGAGGTTTCCTTGGCAGATACCAGAGTGGTTTGTCATTCCCTTCTCCAGCTCATTTGACAGATGAGGAAACCGAGGCAGACAGGGTGAAGTGACTTGCCCAGGGTCACACAGCTGGCAAATGCCTGAGGCTGGATTTGAACCGGAGAGATGAGTCTTCCTGACTTCAGGCCCAGCGCCCTGTGCACTATGGCGCCCCCTAGCTGCCCACACCCTCTCACTATCTTACAGCGAAAGTGGCTTACTCGTTGCTCCCAATAGAAGAGCCGTCTCCTGCCTGCTGGTCTTTGCACAAGCTGTACCTTTAGCCTGGAGCACTCCCCTTCCTCCCCTCTGCTGGTTAGGTTCCCTGGCTTACCACACACTTCCGACGGCGCTGCTTACACCAGGCCCTTCCAGATCTCTCAGGTTTTTGTGATTTTTCGCCTCCTGAGATGAGTTCACATGACGAATCTTAAGCCTTGCTGCCTGACAGCTGGGTCCCCCTCACCCTCCTTCTCCCTAGAACAGAAACCGTTCTATTTCTTTGTTATAGCGCTGCCCCTGGACCTCAGGGTCATCCGTCAAGGGCCCAGCCCCCTCATTATACACAGGGAAACTGAGGCTCGGATAGAAGTGACTTGCTCCAGGCTGCAGAGATGATGAGCAGCCAGGGCGGGGGAAGTGGGGGCTTGATCCCAGGTCGTCTGATTCCAAATCCAGCCTTGTCTGCCATCCACCACACTGGAGCTACATCGGGACCCTTCCTGTACTGAATCTGAGATCCTGGTTGGCTTTCCCAAGGTCTAGTGGGAGCCGGTGAGAGCCTGCCTGGGGGTGCAATGGAGCTCCTGTCTCCTGGGCCCGCTCACAGCACCCTCCCCGCCATGATGGCGAGCTGTGCTCCCCTGGGTGCCACCCTCGTGCAAACGCACACAGCCTTCCCTCCTTATTTCCCTGATCACAGCGCTGCAGCACCACTCTTGTCTGCAGTTGTGGGTGATTCCCCCAAAGGACCATCACATGGGGTTGGGGTGAAGAGGAATGGCGGCCCTCGGGCCACACAAGAGTGTTGTGATTTCAGCCAGCAGGGAGTGCTCGCTCTGCCTCTGTCTGTCTGTCTCTCCCTCCCTCTCTGCGGCTCTCTCTGTCTTTCAGTATCTCTGTCTCTCTGTCCCTGTGTCTCTTTGTCTCTCTGTCTCTGTGCCTTTCTCTGTGTCTCTCTTCATCCCTCAGCGTCTCTGTTTCTCTGTCTCTGTTCTCTTTGTCTGTCTCTCTTTATCTCTCACTGTCTCGTTTTGTGTCTGTCTCTGTGTCTGTCTCTCTCTGTCTCTATGTTTCTATCTCTGTGTCTGTCTCTGTCTCTGTGTCTCTGTGTATCTCTGTCTCTGTCTCTCTCTGTCTCTATCTCTGTGTCTCTGTCTCTGTGTCTGTCTCTGTCTCTGTCTTTCTGTCTCTGTCTCTGTGTCTGTCTCTGCATCTGTCTCTGTCTCTGTGTCTCTATCTCTGTGTCTGTCTCTGTCTCTGTGTCTCTCTCTGTCTCTGTCTCTCAGTTCAAGCATGCTGGATCCAGCTCCCCTGAGAGGCCCAGGTTACATCCAACAGGATATGCTCTCTCCCTTCCTGCCCTATGTAATAGGGTGGTGCCGCTGCTCTGGGTAAATATTGAATCTTGCTCTGGAAAGCCAGGGACACTTTCTGGTGGTCCTTCTTAGGGTTTTTTGGAGGATATTTTTTTCAGGGGGAGGGGGCAAGATCTGAAAACTGCTCCTTTATTCCCAAGACAAAGCTACATTGTGTGGAAGAAATCATCCCTAACCTGCACAAGAAAGGTGAATGGCTGTGAGGTAAGGCTCGGGTGAGTGCCTAATAAAACAAAGAGCTGGTTGGCTGAAGACGAACCATCCCGGTGATGGGGAGTATCTCCCCTTGATGATGGGATGGCTCCTTGGCTCAGCTCCGTCTTCCCTGCCACCTTCTAAAAGACACCTTGGCTTCAGGTCGGCTTGGGGAGGGGCTGGGCCAGAAAGCCATCTGTGAATACAAGTCCCTATTTTCCTATAGCATCTTCTTTTGGAAAATTAATTGGGCCCCACTAAAAATGGACCGTTGTTCAAGTTTGTCTCAGTTCAGAAAATTGAAAAAGCCCTCTTGGAAGAAGTCAGGAGGGTATATGAAAGGCCTCATTGTCTCGTGTCCGCTTCCTTTAAGGGCAAATCTGGCAGGGACACCGGCTCGATTGCCAAGAGAAAATGAGTCTATATATTGGGGCTTACTCTCTGCCAGAAAAAGTAAAGGCAGCTGGCAACAGCGGGCTCTTGGGAAGGCCCCAGGTCCCGTCTCAGGGAAAGGCACATGTTTCCTATCCTGTCGCTCACATGTGTCTCTGGGTAAGTGGTGGCCCTCTGGTGATGCCCACGAGGAAAGGAGGAAAGCTCTCACCTGGAAAAGCCATCACGTTCTTCTCCAGATGGTGGATGAGGGTGATGGTGACAGGCCAGGCCGAGGCCATGCCGGCATCCCCGGCTTGGCTCCATGGAGCAGCCAGCCGGCTCATCATTAATACCTAGCACGGATAAAGCATTTTAAGGTTTACCAAGCACTTTACAAATCTTACCTCGTTTCGTCCTTGCAAAGACCCTGGGAGGCAAAGGCAATTATTATCCCCATTTTAGAGATGAGAAAACTGAGGTGGAGAAAGTTAAGTGATTTGCTTGGGGTCACACGGCTAGTCTATGAGCCTGTGATCCAGCTTTGTCTCTGCGTGCCTGGGTGGCCTTGGACAAGACACCTCCTATTTCTGGACCTCAGTTTCCTTATTTGTACAGTTAAGAGGGAGTCTGAGTCTATGAAAATAATATAATCCAGTCCAGCAGTAAGATACAGTCTCAAACCTATCTATCTATCTATCTATCTATGTATCTATCTATGTATCTATGTATCTATGTATCTATCTATCTATCTGTCTATCTATCTATCTATCTATCTGTCTGTCTGTCTATCTATCTATCTGTCTATCTATCTGTCTGTGGATTCTTCTATATAGCTATCTATTTATCATTTATCTCTAGTTATTTATTTATTTGTTTATCTATCTATCTATCCATCCACCTATTCATTAATCTGTGTACCCATCTACTTATCTGTCCATCCATCCATCCATCTTTCTATCATCTATCTATTCATTTATCAATCATTCTATTTGTTTATGTGTTTATCTATCTACCTATCTACAAACATTTATGAAGGGCCAGGGACTGTGAATACAGAGACAAAAATAAATTAGGCCCTGCCTTCAAAGAGCTTACATTCCATTGGGGAGACATGTACCTCTGGAGTTATAAGTAAAATCTATAGAAAATAAGAAAACGTAATTTTGGAGGGGGGGACAACCACCGTTGGGAGGAAGCCCATGGAGAAGACTAGGGATTGTGAGAGCTGAGAAGGTCGGAGTTCCAAGCAGTGGGCACAGCCCATGCAAAGGCACAGATGGGAGATGGAGTGGTGAGTATAAGGAACAGTAAGAAAGCAAGTTTAGTTGGATTGAAAACTGTGTGAAGGGGAGTAATGTATCACAAGGCAGGGAAGGTAGGTTGGAGCAAGGCTTTAAATGTCAAACGGAGGATTTTGTTTTTGAATCTAGCAGTAATGGGGAGCCAGCAGAGTTTATGGACCGGGGAGTGCTGCGCGTCCTTAGGGCAATCAGGTGGAGAGGCGGGAGGCAGGAAGTCACTTAGGAGGCCCTGCAATAGTTCAGGTGAGAGCTGAGGAAGGCCCATCACAGAAGGAGGGTCCAGGCAGGAGCACAGGCTCCAGAGAACAGGCGGGGGATGGAGGTTACCTGGCAGCAAGCATCTCTGGGTCTGAGGCCGACCGCTGGTTGCGGACGCACTGCCAGACTCTGCCTCTTGATTCAAAGTCACGAACCACCCTCGTATGTTGGGGCTGTCTTCGTGGGAAGGACAGGTAAGAGGTCACCTGTGAATGCTGCCAGCAGACCACAGGATTAGGATTTGGGAGCTGGGAGGGGCCGTAGAGAAGGAAACTGAGGCCCCAAGTCTTAGCCAGGTCATGCAGGGTAGCAAATAAGAGAGCTTGTCCCCTGATCGTTCAGAAGAGTTCCATGTCCCCTTTCTTTCCTCTCTCCCCTGGGTGATTTACCGTGGGGTTAAATCAGATGAAGTCCAGCACTAGTCTGGAAGGGAAGCCACTGCTTACGTATGCTCACCGGTGGCTGGCTCCAGTATTGCCCTGGTACCCATGGCCTGGAGGAGGTACCTGAGAGGAAGGTCTGGAGGGCTTATGGGCCCTCTATGGACCACTTAGGAGGGGACCAGATGGGAACTGCTCACTCCAAGCTGGACCAGATGGCCTCTAAGGGCCCTTCTCACTCTGGGATTCTGTGGGGTTGGGAAGGCATGAATAGGTTACACCCTGTGCTGTGGGAGGCAGTACCTGCACCCATGAGACGAAGCCGTCGTCACCTTGAAATATCACAACGGCATCACCTATGCTTGGAAACGGGTGACGCAGATCCAAAGCAAGCTGGGTATTTGGCCTCAGAAGATCTATTTGTCTGTTTGTGGATTCCTGCTTGGTTTCACGAACACCTCGTTACAAATCCAGGGTCCTCCAAGCTCTCTCCCAAGCCCAACAGGCTGGGAACCCCTCCTCCAGAGACCCACGTCTGATTTCCCCTTACACAGTCCATGGTACCTTTGCTTGGGGCCTCATTGAGGCTGTCCTATGGGGATGGAAATGAGACTTACCAGTTGGAAATTTTCAGGGTCCCATCAGGAATCTTTCTGAGGAAGAGGAATCCCATGAGCTCGCCGTACCAGTACTTTGGAACCTGTGAAAAGAGCTCACATGCTTTGGCGAAGCTCTCTCCAGTTCCTCCCTTGAATTCCTTCCAACATCTTGAGTGGATGCCTCTACTCTCAATACACTGAGTTTAATCATTAGGTCTAGTCATTGACAGCTGTCGTTTGAATTCTTCTGGGCTATCTGATGGCTCTGGGGTATCTGACTTTGACAGTTTCTTCGGTTAGATTAATGTTGTCTTACATTATTAATTCCACTTTGTGTCTCATGATGGCTTCTTCCCGTGGGTATATTTGGAGATCTGTTTACCATTGAAAATACTATGGATCACAATCGTTAAGATTGTTAGCTATAACTAGAGAGGCAGTGTGTCATGATGGATAGAGAGCTGCCTTGGCAATCAGGAAGGCTTGGGTTCAGATCCTGCCTCTGACATACCAGCTGGGTCACCCTGGCAAATGGAGGAACTTCTCGGTGCCCGGGCTTGGCAATTTGTTGAGCCCATTCATTACAGAGAAGGTCCCAAATTGATTGGGTAGAGGGGATTGCCCAATTATGAAGGAAATGACATCAGACCATCCCTATTTTCCACTCTAACATTTATGTGGCATTTTGAGGTTTGAAAGGAGTGCTTTATGTGCATTATACTATCTGATCTTTGCTACACTCTTGTAAGAGAGGGGCAATGATGATGCCAATTTTACAAATGGGGAGCTTGGGACTGAGAGAAGTTAAATTGCCTGTAGTTACGCAGTTAGGTTAGAAACTATCTGAGGAAGGATTTGAACTCAGGACTTCTTGACTCCATGCCTTTACACCATCTCCCATGTAAATACTACACGTAGTCATTTACAAGGACTTTTGGAGTCCTTGCAAGATGCTTTTATGTTCCTTTAAATATATACATATAAATTTATACACACACACACACACACACACAGAGTTTTAATTAGCCAAGTTCCACCTTCTCTTCCTCCCTCTCCCCATTCCCAATTAAGAACACAAGAAAAATAAAACCCATTACAAACATGTAAGGTCAATCAAAACAAATTTCCACATTGGCTCTGTCCTATGATACGTTTGTCTCATTCTGCCTCTGTATGTACCAGTTTTTCTCATTCGCCTTTTGGAATCCTGGCTGATCATCACGCTGATGAGAGGTCAGCACAACAGTATCCCATTGTATTTATTTGCCATAACTTCTTCATCTGTCCCCCAATTTGTGAGCACTCCTACAGCTTCCCGTCCTTTGCCACTTCAAAAAGAGCTATAGAGATTTTTTGCATATCTTTCTTTAGAGTTTGTTTTCTTTAGAACACATCCCCTTCTTAATTTAACTTCCCTCTACTTCCCCTCTCCCTTCTCCCTCTAATTTCCTGTGGAGTGTAATGGATTTTTGTACCAACTCTCTCCCCCCCCACCCTCTGTCTCTGTCTCTCTCTGCCTCTTTCTGTCTCTCTCTCTCTCTCCTTCTTTCGACCAGTTCAGATGAAAGTGAGGTTCAGGTGTCAGCCACTCTCCCTACCCCCTCCTTTTTTATAGATATCTACTTGTGCACCCTGATTTTGTGAGATCATATTCCCTAACCTTCCTTTCTCTTCCCTCCCAGTGTATTCCTCTTCCATGTTCTTTCCATTCTTTTCTTAATTCCATCTAGACATAACAGAATTCCTCCCATTTTTTCTCTAGTTAGGCTCCCTCTATGATCCCTGAAAATGACAGAGTTCAGAGGAGACACGTGTCATTTCCCCTTATTTAAATGCCTTCGGTTTATTCCCACTCAGTCCTTTATTATTGTTCATTTATGTTTACCTTTCTATGTTTTTCTTTATTCCTGTGTGTGAACTTCAAAGTTTCTCCAAAGCTCTGGTCTTTTCATCAGAAATACTTGGAAGTCCTCTATTTCATTAAAAATCAGTTCCCCCCCATAGGGTTTTACTCAGTTTTGTTGGGCAAGTTATTCTTGGCTGTAAGCCCCTATCATTTGCCAAGCTCTTTGCTCCTTTACAGTGGTGGCTGCTAAATCATATGTGATTTTCACTGTGGCTCCTCAGTACTTGAATTCTTTCTGACTACTTGCAGTATTTTTCCTTTGATCTGGAGGCTCTGGATTTTGGCTATAATGTTCCAGGGAGTTTTCATTCTTTCAGTAGGTAACTGGTAGATCCTTCCTCCTTTCACTTTGCCATCTGGTTCCAAGAAATCTGGGCAATTTTCTTTTAAGATTTCTTGAAATAGGATGTCTAAGTTCTTTTTAGGCTCATGTTGCTCAGATGGTCCGTATATGGACCAGGACCTCCCTACCTGAGAAAGGCAACACCACCACCCTACCATGGGCACATAAGTCCCCTTCTCACCTCACCCTTGTTCTTCAACCCAGGATTGGGTCGCGGGGAACAAAGCTGCCAGTTGGCACCTGTCCCCATTGCAGTGCCTTGGTACGGATCTGGGGATACCCCAGTATGGGTCTTAGAGTCTCCTCTTGTGCTGATGTACAGCCTCTCACTGGGCACTGGCTTGCTCCACTGGCCATGCTTCTGACTCTATCCTGTGTCAAGCATCTGCTGAGTTTATTGTCTGTTTCCCTATGCTGCCCTGGCCCAGACAAAGGACTCACTGTGACTTTTTCTGCATTTCTCCACCAGGATTTGGTCTGGTGCATTTTCCAGATCTGTTTGGAGGAGTTGTGGACCAGAACTCAGCAGCATTGCTTCCTTCTACTCCGCCATGTTGGCTGTACGCCTACACTTGGGTTCTTGATGGAGCCCGAGGCCGGCTGGTTCGGTGGTTCAGACTCAAGATTGGAAGAAAGAGGAGACGCTCTTAGAGTACAAAGCATTCAACAAAAGAGGTTTTCTTAATAACAGCATGGGAAGAATATCTAACATTTGGAGATAGTCTCCCTTGGCCCTGTATTTGTCACACAGACATTGAATCAGGAGGGTTGTGTTTGACTCTCAAGGCAGTGGGAAGTCCATCAAGACTGAGCTACTCATTCCTAGGTTCTTTGTGTCTTTGGCAATTAGGAAGCTACAGTAATGTCGATTTGTGGTCTTCTGGACCAATTAAATCCACAGGGCAATTTTGTTACATTTTTAGGAAAAAAATTACATTGTAGGCCAACGGGGCCAGACCCGCCAATCCTACCTGATGCTGCTTCTGCCACATCTTGGAATTACTCTTTATACTCGACTGGCCGACTTTCCTATTCTCACATGTGAAGCCTTTCTATTTTTTAAGGATTTCATTTTAAATCAACCAATGTTTATTGTTTGCTGAATGATGTGCAAGGCAATGTGTGAAGTGCCGGAGATGCAGTGATGTGTATAGAGAACATTAATTTTTCAGTTACCAGAACTTAGAGTCTAGCAACAGAGATTAGATGGTCACCCAAGTAACTATGAAACAGATTAGACAATATTACAAAGGGGACCTCAGACAATGGACTTTGAGAAATGTACAGAGGCCTGCCTCCCCCCTCCAATGACCTCTTGTGTTTTGCCATGTGAAGCTGGTCTTTGGCTTTTGTTCAGGTTCTATGATTTTGTTAGTGTAAGCAATTCCTGGTGAGAAAATGTCCCCTACCAATGTGGATCAGCAGCTTTTCTGTGACTTATAGTTCTCCATATTGCCTGGATCGCTGAGAGTTCGAGTGGTTTGCTTGGGGTCACACGGCCAATGGGCATCAAACCCTGCACTTGCACCCAGGTCTTCCTCAGTGCTGGGTCCCTACAGGCCAAATAAGAATTTTTTCCTAGCCTTCTAAACGGTGTTTTAAAACAATTTGCAGACCTTACATTTCTTTTAAAATTTTCTTCACATTTTTTCCTATCTTTTTTTTTTGTCCCTTTCTAAAATGTAATTATTTCATGACAGATTTTTCCTTCTTCCCTCCCTCCTTCCTTCCTTCCTCCCTCCCTACCTCTCTCTCTTCCTTCCTCTCTTCCTTCCTTCCCTCCATCCTTCCCTCCTTCCTTCCTTCCTCCCTCCCTACCTCCCTCTCTTCCTTCCTCCCTCCCTCCCTTCCTTCCTTCCTTCCTTCCTTCCTTCCTTTCTCCCTCCCTTCCTTCCTTCCTTCTTTCCTCCCTCCCTCCCTCTCTTCCTTCCTCCCTCCCTCCCTTCCTTCCTTCCTTCCTTCCTCCCTTCCTTCCTTCCTCCCTCTCTTCCTTCCTTCCTCCCTCCTTCCTTCCTTCCTCCCTCCCTCTCTTCCTTCCTTCCTTCCCTCTCCTCCTCCTCCTCCTCATCTTTTTCTTCTTTTCTCCCTCTCCCTCTCCTTTTCATTCTCCATTTTGCCTCCTCCTCCTCTTCTTCCTCCATCTCCTTTCTCTTCCACCCGCCAGATTATTAAACTTCATTATGTCGTGGTCACCAGTCCTTTCTGGCTAATGCACAGAAGCTTCCTCTACCAGCTCCTTTCTTCTGCCTGGCACCTCATGCTGTCTGATTCCCAGAATGGTAGCACTTGCAGGGACATTGGAGATGTTGGAACTGAGCCCCTGGCTTACTAGATTTCCCTCTGTAGGTCAGCAGCTGCTGCCAATAGACCTACTGGGGGCACCAGCCTCTCTCTTACTACAGGCTCTCATAGGCAGCCCAGAGTTGGAGGATTATCTTCCCTAATCTGGGCTTTATAGAAAGCTGAGTGTGGGGGGGGGAGGAGGAGGTGGAGGAGGAGGAGGAGGAGGAGGAGGAGGAAGAAGAGGAGGATAGGGGGAGGAGGGGGAGGAGGAGCGGGAGGAGTTAGTTATCTCTCTCTCCTCAAATTACCAGGTATCCTGCATCTGGGTCCAGGTTGTGTCTTCCAGTAGACAGTTAAGATCCCCTCAGAGTCCACAGTGTTTCATATTCATCTTTGTCTCCCAGTGCCTTGCACACAGTAGGTGTTTAATAAGCGTTTCTCGGACAAGAGGACGCGGTGAGAGCAGGGCAGCTCTAGAAAGTCTGGTGACCAGGGTGACTCCCTCGTGTCCTGTTTTGGATTCTTCTGTGCTGGGAACCTCCCTAGGAGGAGACGAGGACTTTGGGACGGG